CTGACCGATCAGATCCTCCTTTACGTAGTCTATGTCGAGTTCCTTGGGGACTCCACGTATCACTACGCGGAGTTCGCGGTCCTCCTGAAGAGCATAGGTGTGATAACCTATGTTCTCCTTTCGGAGGTAAGCAGAGAGGGCCCTATGGTCGCCCGGCGTTGCGACCTTAATCTGAATCCCATGCGCGACGTTACGCGCATGGGTATAATTAATTTTGTTGGCCTGAAGGGCCTGGGATACGCGATTCCACGCTGACTTCTCCTGGAGTATCAGCGGGGGCGGGACAACTGTTTTAGGCGCGGGCGCGGTTTTTGGGCGCGGCGGTGGGATTACGCGGCGGGCGGAGTCCGACTCCGGCGTTACGACTACCTGCGGTCGGGAGGCGGTCGCGGACTTGGTTTGCTTCGTCATGGAGCTCCGGGACTCCACGACGCGAGTACGCTTTTTACCGCGCGTTACAGTTTGAAACCCATCCGAGGTTCCGGGTTGAGGGCTAGTCGCGGACTCGAAGTCCATCTCCGATTCGGTATCGGAGCCTGAACTAGACTGCCAGTCTTATGTCACTTTTCTAATACCGACTTCAGATTGTCATTTGTCTTTTGATATGATCACAGAAAAAAATATATACGTACTTAGATTTCAGACAGACGCTCTCTGTCTACCTTCAACTGTCGCAGTGCTTGTCCTGAGTGCCACCAAGGAATCTTCAGTATATTATTCCAGTACCGTATCTGGAATATATAGATGCACTTGCTCTGTATTGCTTGTAATGTCACTACCTCTCCTGTTTGGCTCTAAATTATGTAATTAATGTGTACTAATCAAAGCCAGCCAGCCCGGTTTGCTCGACCTCGTTAGACTGATTTAAAGATTTTCTGAATATTCCACTGAAATCGATCCTGCCCTTTCGGAGTCTTTAATGAATATACAGTCAAACCTGGGTAAGTGAGAACTGCATAAGTGAGAAAACTCTATAAGTGTGAGTAATAACCAGGACCCGTCATTTTAAGCTCCCAAAATCTCTATTAGCGAGAAATAGAAACCTTTGTAAGAGAGAGTTGTTTTTCCCTCATGAACTTCCGTAAGTGAGACTGCTACTTATCTATACCTCTATAAGCGACAGTCGAGCTTTATTTATTTATATTATTTAGGAGGAACTAATTACAAAACATTAACATCTGCTATTTTATGACTCATTCTTAACTTTCGTGGAACTTCCTACCATTGTTTTTGTATTGTTTTCTCGTCAATATTGAACCTATTCTATTTCCTGGAACTAAATAACGTTGTTATTTTATCGCACTCTTTTCGAATGGACACGTGTGCCTGTATACCGTCCTATTTGTCGGACTTACTCAGTTTGTCGTTAATCAATTGCGAAGGAAAATTCTGTTCTGCATCATGTCGAAACGGAAAATTAAAGTACTGTCATTAAGTGATAAACTTAAAATAGTGAATGCGTTTGAATTCAGAAAATCACGAAATGAAATTTAGAGGGTGCATTAGCGAGAAACTCGGGTTAGTGAGAAACCTCTATAAGCGAGAATGAGATTGTGCTCCCTTGAACTCTCACTTATCCAGATTTGACTGTATATACAAATCGACTTTTATTTATGTATGTAGATATCCGTAGCATAGTACTAAGACGTTGATGTTTCAAGAGTAGGACAGCTGTTACTCTAATGCAATTAACTTGGACCTCACTTCTCAAGGTGTGTAGCGCCACGTTGTCTATTACTTCGAGGGCTTATCCGACTGAGACTATATAATAAATCTGCATATCTGCGCGTCTTTTGTTACGCAAACTACTTCAACCTTAGTGTTATCCCTAAACAAATAAGTCTGCCAAGATTTTTCTATAGGTACCTATTTACTCATATGTTTGAAAATCGAAAATACAAATAAATATTCAAATATTAATCATATTCAGTTACAACTTTCGTGACCTAGCATCGTTACATTCGAACTACTCTCATGACGAGTGATTGTATTGTCGCGAACCCTTTATGGGAACTTCAAGGTCACACGAAACCCAATTTTACGCCCCAACCGGTAATTTCATACAATATTTTTCCCCGTTTTATTATATTGTCTAATTTTGCTGTCTCCGAATCGTAATAAATAATACGTATCGTTTACGTAAATTATTTTGTAATTTACAAGCTTTATCACCTGTCCTTCTCTCTTGATTCAAATTTTAAACTAAGGATGGTTTGTTTAAGATTACATTTGTTTAGTACCTAGTAAATGTAGCATCTAAATCTCTATGTATATTTATAAATGGGATTGTGAATCGAAAAATATTTAAATAAAATACTTTTTGACACATTTTATCAGATTCGTATGTGGTTTACGAATTGCTGTTCCAGAAATTATGATAATTCATTTCTGAAATTAAACGGAATTGAAAGCTAAATATTCGAAAGAATAAAATAAAGAACCCTAAGTCACATGCAATTATTTTTTTTCTTCTAGGGTACTATGAAGTGCGCCCGACTTCAATTACAAGAAAGAGCAAAAGTAATACCTAAAACAGAAAAGATCCAAAATACTCAAAGACCTAGAAGATACTGTCAAAAACGTCTCGTTAATCCTGAACATGACGAAAACCCGACATGGATGGCTGTTTTTGGAAGGTATATTTAATTTTATTGTTCGACAAACGAAACACTCCGAATATATGGTGGAGGTACTCAAACGGGTACAAGGTATCCCTCTGTATATTAATCTGCCGCGCTTTAGTAAATCCCGAAATCCCCGCTTGGGCTCCCCTACTAGAATGATTTCTATTGAAGCTTCAATTAAAGACTCTTTGGTCATGGTGCCGTAAGTCTAATGAGTATTCCTGAAATATTTCTTGACTATTTAGATTCTTGCGATTGATGTATCGAGCAGCCTTCAATATCAAAGTCACATAGAAGAAGAAGCTACGGTGGCTTCAAACTTTTTCAATAGACCGATACTTTACTCTTGGACTACGTGAAATTCTGGCTTCGCACGCTCTATTGCTACTACATACCATTAACTTCTATTTGATTTGGTACAGAAGAGAAACGTTGTTAATAGTCCTGGTCTTACGGATTGCTGAGAGCCTCAGGGTCTACGGAGGTATTTCAGTCCACTCTGTGTTGTCGACGGGGAGTATTTTGAATAATGGTTTAAGATGATTCCGCCATTTTATTTTTATCACACATCATCGGAGCGTAGTTCGAAATATTACGTGGACTCACTGCACTCATCCGCAGTGAGTATTCAGAGATCCTTTCTGAGATACGCGTCATCCGTCTTTGGAATAAATTCTCGTTCACGCTCATTTCCCAGCGAGGTTCGACAAGAGTCTGGCATTCTAGTGCCCCCGACTTTACCGATGTCTTTGAGTGACGGCGATCACTCACTATCGAGTAAACCAATTGCTACCCTATTTCGAATGCACTTTAGATTTCATATGATGAAAATTAATTTCCCCGTCCACTTTATGACCTAACGTAAAAGTTTCAATGATGTTGTACTACAATATTATTATTATTATTTACTTTAGCTTTTGGTTTAGATACATACAACGTTCCTTGAACGTTATTATCTCAGATGTAGGGAAGCGTACGTGTCAATCAATCTATTATCTCATTGTTCAGATATCATTGCAACGCTGACAACCCTAAGGAAGCGCCAGAACATGGGCAAAGCCATCGTGACAATGAAGATCTCTACCTTAGTGTTCAAACACTAAAATTCCAAGGTGACGTCGAGCAACAAAAAAGACCTAAAACAAGTTTCAAATACAAAACGCTAAGCGATAACAAGAAACACAGGATGTTCGTTAAACAAATGGTACAAAATGATTTCGATGATTCGGGAAGATCTTCACAACACACATGCTACTATTTCGACGATTACGCTAAGTATTTGTTCAGTAATGAAAGGTCCAGACCCAATTCTGGTAAATCAAGCCTCTTCCTTCAAGGCCTTAGTGGTAATTACAGAGAACAAAAAGAGATACGCGTCAATGACTCAGATAGAAAGTGCAGGAGCGTCGGATCTAGGTTTAAAAGTATTTTCAAACGAAATACGAAACACAATTTCGATAATACGGATGACAAGTCGGAGATCGATGATATTCAAGACGCTAAAATAAAGTTTGAGAAATCTGGTACGAGAAAGAGTTTGACCATATCACGAACTCAAAGCCCTGAAACTTTCCAGATAATAAGAGTCGACGTAGTATGCAATTACAGCAATCCCATCTTATTAGATCAAGAAGATGAAAAAAACATAACAGAAAACCATTTGGAATCAGTTACAGAATCGAAATTAGACAACTTTAAAAATTCTCATTTCGCTACTAAGTATTTATTGACTAAGACTGTTAAAACTTTAGATGAACATTTATCCGGTGGAGCCAAAGTAACTCTGCTCTGCAAAACATTCAAATTGTCCGAACGAAACAATTTCTCACGAACAATTAGAAACGATGAGGCTGGAAAGAGGAGTAAGGTGAAAGATGTAAAAGTTAAAACTAAGATCAAGAAATAAAGATTGTTAGTAAATGAGTATTTAATTTTTTAGCAAAGAATCCAGAAAAAAAATTGGTTCTGGTCAAATTTATTGTGTGTGCGATGCAACGACAATTTCGACAGACGTCAAATACCTGGCGGGCGAGCCGACCCTCTGGCGCCACCCTTAATTCAAACAAACCGTTCTCAAACTTTCTACAAAGGTGGGTATTTTACTAATCAACCCTCTGAAATTAATACTGCAATCGCGTTTGCAACTTGTTGACTTGCTAAGTAATAGCGATTGATCACATATAACAATAAACGGATATGACAGAAAACATTGTCTCAAAAAAGATTAGCTAAAGGTAAATAACAATAGTTTTAATAAGTATAATATTATATTACATTGTGGTGGGTAGCCAGTCAACATACAACACAAGATATGTGACAGATGCCTGAATCTCGTTTAGGACATTTTCAAGATAAGCTTGCATATATACAAGTTCCGAACAATAATATTCGGACCGTCGGTCTACCGAGCAATATCACCCGCTCAGAGGAAAAATTTCCCTTTGTCGTATACCTACAAAGTTATACCTTTTACGAAATATATAATTTTCTCGTATGTCAATTTATTATATATGTAACACGCTATTCCGATGCAAAGAAAGAAATAGTTCAATTTTTTTTCCAAAAATAATTCAAAGCTAATTCAACAGTTTGAGAGCCACTACCATGATAGAAAAAATGTAAGAGCATAAATTTTTCACGCAACCTGTGATTTAGTGAGACGCACACGATCAATTCTAAACGAAAAAAAAAAAACATTTAATCTACAAAAGTTGACCATAACATAAAAAAAGTGGAGGTAATCGATATTTTATTTAAAAGTCATTTAGTGCAAAAAGTATATTACTAATGTTTTGTAATTTAGTAAAAGGTTTTTGTTTATGTCGAGTTGAAATAAAACATCAATATTATACGTTTGTTTTGTAAAAATGTATATAATTTATTTAAAAAAAACCCTTCACAACTATGGATAGAAATGACTTTTTTTAAAGACTGCCCATAAGTTCGAAGGAATTTGGATTTTGAATTTTTTTCCTTGTTTGGTTCTAGCTTTAAAATAACAATGTTCGAGATTATAGACTAAATGTGCTATTAGCAGCAACCCTCTTAGCAGTTTCGAAAATCCTTCCTTATTTTATGGAAAATCCTTGTTAAATTCACATTTCGACACTTACCGGTTTCAAATCTATGTCGTCCTCTCAGAGCCTTCGCTTTATGTCGCCTTTCAAATCAATTCAGACTGGTCGCGTGATTGTCCACATTCATTAGCGAAAAACAAAATAAAAATTCATACTGAACTTATAATCTCCACAGACAGAAACTGTTCGTTTTTTTTTTTCATTGAGACCTTATCTGGCGACGTCATCAAATCTCTTTTCACGGAATGCTTCTATCAAGATTACCGGTGATTTGATTCGATTTTATTTTTTTCGTACTTCAGTATATTCTATAAGATGGCAGCAGTAGGTCAGCACCAAGTATTGTCGTGATGATTTCTACAATAATAATAATAAGCTCATGTGCTTCGTTTTTTTTCTTTTTTTTTCCTACCTATTCTGATAGCTATGAGAGGCTATTTCAGCTTCACTTTGAAAAGTCTGACGGCCTATTTGTATTAAGGCTTCGTTAACATATTTTTTGAACGCCAATGTTAATATTCTTTTTTATTGACCTTGTTGACAGACGAGTATACAGCCAACCTGATGATGAGTTATTATTGTCGATCATGGACATCAGCAATGCCGGGGTCACACATAAGCCGCTTCCTACCGTGGATATTCATTTAGGCTTGGTTATCCGCTCGATTCATGGCGGCAGGCTCTTCGCCTTACAACAGCGCAATAACCTCGGAAAATGGTCTAATTTCAGATTTAACATAGCTATTAGATAATTGCTATCCAAAATTAGAGATATCAGATAAGGTTTAACTAGATTCTTGTACACACTTAATACCAATAAGATTCGTACGCTAATTGGAACAAAACTGCAATATATTTAGCATTATTTAATCGTGACAGATCAACTGGTCGGTATTTTTTAGTTGTTTTGCGTGTGTATGCCAATTATGACATTTTTAGATCTTAACCCTGTGCAAACTGTTATTTATTTGACCGTATTTAAAATATGCAACATATATAATAATCGTAAAAGCGCTTACATTTATAACGTACCTAGGGGGGGCGAGGGTACTTTATATTGTCACTAGATGGCGCTGTTTAGTTTCATTATTTACTACATACCTATATATTAATACATGAAGCAAAAACTTTGTATCCCTTTTTACGAAAATTGCGTGGACGGAGGAGTATGAAATTTTTCACACTTATAGAGAATATAAAGAAGAAGTGCACAATGCTAATATATTTTTTAAATAATGCATAAAAGATACATTAAATCAATAAAGAAAACATTACACACACTACATACTATGTATTTGACGCACACACGCATGCATACTATTTATTGTCAAACTTTTGTTCTTGACGTCTGTTGTTAAATTGAGAATAGATTAAATATTGTTTGTCTTTGTTAATTTTTTTATAGTGTAGTCTTTGCGAAATTTGTGATTATAGAGAAGTATCAAATACAATCATAATAGTGTACAAACTTACAATTCCAATTAATTATAGTCGAATTTCGACTACCTACTGCGGGACCTCTAGTATACTTAATTACTCCAGTTTTTTTTAATACTTCCTTGAGACACGAGGTTGAATTTTGAGTTGTAGCTGTTGTCCCATTAGATCCACCTTAATAAAGCAGTAGACATGATTTTTTTCGAGTCTTATTTGTCGTTCTAGGTAGTATATTGAACTTTCTTGAAATAGTCACTCTGTCTATAATGAAGGAACTATTTTTTTACGTGCGATGAACAGTACTGTCGTATCTGGCACGGACGGGAACGACTTTCAGAAATGTATAGCTTAATTATTATTAATCTAAGTTTGCGTGCAGTGCTCAATTAAAAAACATTTTTAATGCCGCAGAAAAACATGATTCTCTCTTTAGTTCATACGAAATAGGATCTCAGTAAGCTTATTCCTATAACGCATATTAAAGGTGTCCTACAACGAAATCGGTTCGAATAAGTCTTCCGGAGGTCTTTTTTGCCACGTACCATTCGGCTATGGAATGTTTTACCATTCGGTGTTTCCCGAGCGCTATGACATGTCCTTCTTCAAACGAGGCTTGTGGAGAGTATTAAGCGGTAGGCAGCGGCTTGGCTCTGCTCCTGGCATTGCTAAAGTCCATGGGCGACGGTAACCACTCACCATCAGGTGGGCCGTATGCTCGTCTGCCTACAAGGGCACTAAAAAAAAGTTTTACTTAAATCTGACTTAGCAACTAAACTTGATTAACTTTGTCGATCTTATGATTGCTTTTCAATTACATCGATTTTTAACAATTTTACATACTCATACTATACTAGCGGACCCGACAGACGTCCTGTCCTAAAACTGAAAATTTCAAACTTTTTTTACGAAAAATAATAATTAAAAAACATATTTTAGTGGACCGAATTGTAAATCTAAATTCCATAAACCATTACATTAATAAACCATTCTCAAAGTCACTGGAGCATCCACAAAAAAATTTATCAAAATCGATCTACCCGTTTAGGAGGAGTTTACTGACATACACACGTACAGTAGAATTATATAGTAGTGGTCCCACAGTAATCGAAATTCTAATAATTGCATAATTAATTGAAATTTTAAGTTTGAACATTATTTAGGTTCTATTGTCAAAGACTATTAAACTTCTTTAATCACAGATGTCGCCAAGACTACGACTATGGACAAATAATATTAAAGACAAACAATATGTAATTAATATAGTTTCAATTTGACCACAGACTTTAGACAGTAACAAAAGTTTGACATAAGCAAAGAGTATATATTTTACTCGTATATATATACTTATATATGTGTTGTGTCAAATACATGGTAGTGTGTGTAATGGTTTATTGATTTTATGTATTTTTTATGCATAATTACAAAAAGAAATAACATTCTGCACTCCTTCTCTATATTCTCTATAAGTGTGGGAAATTTCATACTCCTCAGTCCGCACAATTTTCGTAAAAAGGGGTATAAAGTTTTTGCTTCACGTATTAATATATAGATAAAGATTGGTATAATGGAAAACGATATCACAGTTCATTGACTAATCAGCGGCTATCATGATTCACGCTGTTTATTCGCAGGCAATCAATCTAAGTTACAATTACTGTTCCACTCTGTAAATTTAAACCCTTGATTGCTTCGTCGCAGAAGGAGACAGTATGCTTGGTAACCGCACTCGTCGAACTCGACAAAGAGTTCGACGTGCAACCTAACCCATGAATCAGCTCGCTAAATTTCTCGCCGGATCTTCTCAGCGGGTCGCGATTCCGATCCGGTAGTAGATTCATTCGCGAAGCAGCTGCTCTTGAGCTGTTAGGTCTCTTTCGGAGGCGTTCGGGCACCTGTTACCAAATCCCACCTGTCCTGTTGAAACTGGAAAGGCATCCGGGCCACCAGTAATCCTTCAATCATAAAAAAAAGAAACAGTATGGTGATAACAACGTGCGCTGTCACCAAAATTTTGTTAAAAAATCTTCACACGCATTGTGAGTTACCTATAATATTTTACAGTATGAATAGTGATTCTGATCCGGTAGTAGAATAATTTGAGAAGCAGCTGCCCTTGGGTTGTTAGGGCTGTTCCGAAGGCGCTCGGACAGCTGTTAGTAAACCTCTTTTTTCCTGGCTGAGCCTTTGTTCGACCACTTGTCCTGGTAAAACTGGAAACGCTTCCTAAAATATTGTTATGAAACTACAAAATAATATTTCATCTTTCAATTCGGCGATAGTACTAGATCCGATACCGAGGTTCAAGTTTTAGGGAGGACTTGCAAAATTATTGTTATCACAGACTATGCAATAACAGAATAGTTCTAACAATTCGAGTAATCTGTGGTAGTTAGTGAAATTTTTTATTTATTAAGTTGATCATCGATGTACAAGATCATGTTATTGATGATGTTTTCAAAAGAGGTGTATTTATCTTCGGATGATGGTGATTAGCGTCTTTAATACGTAAGTGATGAAAACGTGATGTGTGAGTGTTTTTATGTGGGAGTGTGTTTAACGAAATATGGTAAAGACAAACTGCGGAAAGGACTTTCATAGAGAAAGTATTGCAGTAAAATTCTGAGTATAAACGTTTTAATTATTTTTGTATATTATCAGTTAAAATCGTTGAAAAGGACAATGCCCATTTTCTATGGGCGTTTGGGCCCCTAAAAAAGTTGTCGGGTGATGATGATTTTAACTTAATTTGATAGACTTTTATCTTGAAAAAAAAAAAACAGTCACTGCTATGTTAGCCACAGTTTTATT